ACAGACAGACAGACAGACAGACAGACAGACAGACAGACAGACAGACAGACAGACAAAGATTGGTAGATATAGGGAGAGATGGTTAGAAGAAACCGAGAAAGAATACAAACAGAGAGAGTGAGAGAGAGAACGGTAAAAAAAGAAAGAGATCAAAAGATAGTAAGGCAATCTAAGGAAGAATAACCTGTAAACGATCACCCACTATTAGACCGCACATTGTGTCCTGCTCAGCGACCTTACTGTGATGAAGATGAAAGAGCCATAATAATAATAATATCATTTGTATAACGCAAATCCCCGCTCAACAGCAAGCTCTATGCTCTTCACAACATATACTATTACCCCAGCAGACCTGAGAGCATTCTGAAACAACCTCAACTTCCTGGGAAGCATACAGTGCAAGCAGCCATTTATAGGCTTTAAAACAATACATGTTACATACTGACAAGATCTTTCGCTGTCTATGGCTGGGTACCCATTCCCACCTGGGTGAAGTGAGGAAAATTCGTTCAGTGCCTTTCCCAAGGATACAACGTCGGGCCCGCGGCTCCAACCCCCGAACCCGCAACCTCACGATTACGAGTCCGGTAGCTTAACCACTTGGCCACCGACATACTACCCCACCTATAACAAACATCACCCTTTCACATGTTATTGTCTCTTCTTCTACAGGTGTGCACAATGCCAGAGTATCTGAGTAAAAGGTTTGGCGGTAATAGACTGCGGGCTTACTTCGCCTTCCTCTCCCTGGTCCTCTATATCTTCACCAAATGTTCGGTGAGTAGGATACACTCTGTCTGTGTTCTTAATAATGCTGAGCTTCTTTTTATATTGGAATTGTACCCAGCGCAGTATTACTGAATTGTCACTGCATACACTTAGTATATGTGTGTTATAATATATATTACATAAAATAACAGGCTTCTATTTTTCAGGACTGGACCATACAAATGAATATTATATGAATGTATTTGTGCTCACAATACGTATAATATTATATCATATTTGGCATATCAATATTTTCTGAGAATATTTGGCGCTCATATGACCTTATGCATCTTTTGAGCGCCGTAAAACCTCTACTAAAACAAATGAGAAGATTTGAACAGCTCTCACTGACAGTAAGTAGAGTGTGTCTTCATTGTTCTTTAGACATATCTTCTTTCAAAAATTGACTATACTATGTGTGTGTGGGCCCACGCGTGCGTGCATATGTGTGTGTTGCGTGCATATGTGTGTGCGTGTGTGTGTGCGTGCGCGCGCGCGCGTGTGTGTGTGTGGGTGATTCTGTGTGTGTGGGTGATTCTGTGTGTGCATACATCGGTTTACACACATGTAAGTCTGCATCAGCACGCATACGTATTAATTGTGTATTATGATGTGTGTGTGTGTTTAATACGTGTGTGTGTGTGTGCGTGTGTTGTGTGTGTGTGTGTGTGTGTTTGTATGCGCGCATGTGCGTGCGCGTGTGCGTGTGCGTGTGCGTGCGTGCGTGCGTGCGTGCGTCCGTGCATCCGTGCGTGCGTGGGTGCGTGCGTGCGTGCGTGCGTGCGTGCGTGCATGCGTGCTTAAACCAAACTGCCGTCTTCCACGCACAATACAAGCTGGTTAACCTCTCGACCCCGGACTGAGGCCGGTGCAAGGACCTTAGAATAAAGTAAATAATTTCTATTTATAACCTTCTTGAATTTTGGTGAAATCTGCGCCATGTCATATTGCATGGGGGCTCTCGTGGCCTAGAGGTTAAGGTGTTCGCCTCTCATTCAAAGGTTCCAGGTTCGAATCCAGGTAGTGATGGAACAATTTTTTTTCTCAAAAAGTTGTCTCCTTTCACCTCCTTTCCCATTCTCTAGCAATAATCTGTTGTCTGCTTTCGTCTCCACTTTCTGCCCCCGCCTTCCTTTGCCCCCTTCTATGGGCTCCTTACTCTTTCTTGCAGCCTTTCTACTGCTACCCCTTGGCTCCTTCTTCCTGCTGTCTTTCAGCCACATCCCTGGTCTTCTGGACAGATAAATCTACACATAGCCTTCTCTGAAAAAGGTGCAAAATATCGGAGGTCCCGTGTGCTAGTTGCGCACCTTAAATTAATATCCCTTGATGTTCTAAAATCGATAAGAGTAGGCTTCATCCGCCTCCCGGGCAAAATTCAAAAAGTCCCTACCTACTGAAAATGTTTGGTGTGTCCTGCGCGCTCATATGACCTTATGCAGTTGTGTGTGAGCGCAGTAAAACATTTACCACAAAAAGGAAAATTATATTGAGTCATTTCGCCCCCCATCCACAGGGAGACTTGTACACCGGCGCCCTGTTCATCCAGCAGTCTCTCCACTGGGACCTGTACGTGTCCATCGTCATACTCATCGTTATCACTGCACTGCTCACCCTCACAGGTAATGATGAGAATGATGATACTACTACTACTACTACTACTACTACTACTACTACTACTACTACTACTACTACTACTACTACTGCTGCTGCTGCTGCTGCTGCTGCTGCTGCTGCTGTTGCTGTTGCTGCTTCTGCTGCTGCTCCTGCTGCTTGCTGCTCCTGCTGCTACTCTTACTACTACTACTACTACTACTACTACTACTACTACTACTACTACTGCTGCTGCTGCTGCTACTACTATTACTACTACTACTACTACTATTATTATTAATTTTAATATTAAAATTAATAATAATAATAATAATAATAATAATAATAATAATAATGATGATGATAATGATTATGACTATGATAAGAATGATAATAATAATAATGTAATAATAATAATAACAATATCTTGAATTGAAGTTCAGATATTTGCAATTGAAGGACGTGGGGGTCTCCTGGTTTTTGAGGTTATATTTAGGGAGAAAATGCCCGCCAAAGTTTTGTGACTTCCAAAGCTTGAATATCATTGTAAAGTGCTAAAGTAATTTTATTTGCGCATTTACCGACGTTTTCACAGAAATATGTTTTCAGATTGACGGAACAGGTGTTGAATGTTGAGAACCCCCCGCCAAAAAAAATAAAATAAATAAATAAATAGAATAATTTTTTAAAAATCGGTTAAAAACTACCCAACGGGCAGAAAAGTCTCGATATCTTCGATTTAACTTTTTGGACGAGCTTCTGATTTTACAGCACATTTGTCTGTTCTCCTCAGGTGGGCTGACAGCTGTCATTTATACCGACACTCTACAGGCTGTGCTGATGGTGGGAGGTGCATTGTACCTTATGGCCAGAGGTATTTGCCAGTCACAGAGATTGCTTTTTAAAGTCTGTTATATGTAATTACAAAAATAAAGATATCTGTCTGTCTGTCTGTCTGTCTGCCTGCTTATCTATCTATCTATCTATCTATCTATCTATCTATCTATCTATCTATCTATCTATCGATCTATCTATCTATCGATCTATCTATCGATCTATCTATCTATCTATCTATCCATCTATCTATCTATCTATCTATCTATCTATCTATCTATCCATCTATCTATCTATCTATCTATCTATCTTAGGACTGCTGAAAGGACCATTTAGATGTTACCTATTGGTCAACTTGGATAAGCATTGGGAGGGACATGACGTGGCAGAGTCTTACACTAACTCTCTATACTCACTCTCTCCCTATACAGTCACTGTCAGGTACACAAAATGGAGAGCAGTCAACGACACGTTTGTCTGTCCCTGACCACCTTCTCCAATTTGGGCACATCCAGGCCCTGGGTGATTGCCTCATCCTTAATTGGTCGCTTCTAAAGACAAGCGGGCTAACCCAGATTTCGGGGATTTCCAGAAATCTTGACCTATACCAAAAGCGGGCACTGTCCTACCTATAGGAGAAGTTTGGTTTCATTGGTGTGTATATTTATTTAGTTAAAGAGAAAACTCTCCTTGCCTTTTAAAGAAACTGAACGAGGGGAAAAAACCATACCTTCGATTTTCTCAAAACAGCGTTTTTCGGGAATGCCCCCTTGTGCTTAAAAGCGACCGATTGTGCCTCTGTGGCCTTCAGGTCTTACACGGGAATCAAAATCAGATCTTCTGTGTGCGATGGCAAAGTGCCTAAATGCTGCAACACAGACCCCGGTGTATTTTTATCGTCTTGGTGTCTCAGTGTCGTTGATGATATTGTCACGGTAGTCACCGTATTGTACCTTACTCTTTTTTATTCACGGGACGTAAGCGCCCCGTATGCCATGGGCTCTTGGTTAATGTTACTCACTTCGGGGATCTACATAAAAAGTCAGACACTACACCCGGGCTAATTATTAGAATGCTTGCTGTCGTGTGTGTTCGTCTCTCAAGTTTTACAGTCGTGTGTGTAGACTAACATTACAGATATCAGAGACGGTACTTATAATCACGGATGAAATAATAGAAACCAGTACTTTTCGTTATATAACACAACTGGCTGCGTCAATTGGGTCACTCGTCCGTTTAACGTTCAAGCTCCAGTGTATATTCGGACACGTGTGTCCTTCTACTCTAGCATGAATGCGAGCACCGTACATTGTGGGTCTTTTTCTTTTTGAGAATGACGAGCTTCTTTTTTTGTTTTTGGACCAATGCATCTTTGAGAACATACAATATCCCACCCAGCCAGGCCATCAAACTTGCTAGAGACAGGGAGCTCTTTCTCCCCTCGACGCCCTAGAGGTACAAGAGGACGGATAAAATAAACTAAGTAAGCATTGTGACCTTATGCAGTTGCAAGCGCCGTAAAACCCCTTACTAAACTACTACTAAAGAGGTATAATAGAGGACGGATAGAGTAAAGTAAGTAAGTATCTTTGCAGTTTGCATAATAATTGCATAATAATAGCTGTGACCGTGAAATGCGCGATCGGCGTTGGAGGGTGCTGAAAACCAATATCTACTGAAAATGACCCAAGGGTGGCCAGGGCTGAGGCTCCACAGGATTGTGTCCACGTCTGAATAGTCACACCGCTATTTAAGTGTTCCCGCGGGTGGTTGGCGGGTGCTCTGTTGTGGTTTGCTCCTTCTTTCCTGTGAAAAAGCTATTGTCCTTATCTCCCGTCCTCCTATTTTGTGTTTGTTACTCTCAAGTAACACCTCTAATCTTCGGCACTTATATGACCTTACTGTGGTGCAAGTGCCGTAAAACTCTTCCTAAAAATAACCCCAAAAAACTGTCCTCAGGTTTTGCCGAAGTGGGCGGGTTCTCAGGCCTCCTGGAGCGCTACCCCCAGGCCGTGCCCACCAACGTCACCGCCATTGTCCCCAACACAACGTGCCACCACCCCGACAAGATGGCTTTCCGTATGTTGAGGTTAGTGTGGGGTTCAAACCTCGGCGTACTGCCTCATCTAAAGTATGATCTCGTAGTTTCACGTGAAAAATAATAGGCTGGTATTTAAAGTATGTTGTTGTTGTTGTTGTTGTTGTTGCTCTTGTTGTTGTTGTGTTTATTGTTGAATATGTTGTATCATATTTGATGAGTTTATGCATTGACTTTCATAGTGTGCTTTTGCTATTGCTTTCAATGCAATTAGAAAAATATAAAGCATGAGTTAATTCTTTTTTTGAAAAAAGAAAAAAAAATCTCCTCATCAAGCGGACAATTTGAGGAAAAAAATGTCCAGCCTAAACAAAGTAAAACAAGAGAATTTCGGAAAGGCAATTTTAAAAATCATATTTACTTAACATTATAATTTATTTTATTGTGACCCTCCATCCCCACCCCCTTTTTCCATCCCCATCCCCACCTAACCCAACCCGCCATACCCGTCCCCCCCCCCTCAAACCGCCCAACTGGCCGTTGCCTCCCGGCGACTCAGAGACGTAGACGACGACTACATGCCCTGGCTGGGCTTCCTCCTGGGCCAGACGCCGGGGTCTATCTGGTACTGGTGCACGGACCAGGTGCTGTTCCAATCTCCATAAAGGACAATGTTCGATTTGCTTTGTAATTCTTTTTTAATGTTACATTGTTGTTGTTGTTGTTGGGTGGTTTTTTTTGGTGGGTTTTTTTGGTTTTTTTGTTGTTGATTTTGGGTGGGGATTGGGGTTGCAAAAACTTTTTTTTAGTTTCATTTACGGTTACATCGACCTTATTTATTTATTTATTTATTTATTTTTTTATTTTTTTATTTTATTTTTTTTGGATTAATTAATTACTTTCTTAAAGTAGATATGTTACTTATATTATCATTTAGAAGACGGCCTGTGACTCTGCCTATCAGAGCCAATCCAGATTGAGTGGGATACAATATCTGAGAAAAAATAAAGAAAGAAAGAAACGGAAATACTCTATATAGATTCTACCCTCACAAGAATCGAAATCAGGTCTTCTGTGTACGACGGCAAACTGCCTAACCGCTACAGCACAGATGCCTGTGTATTTATATTTTTTGAATGTTTCAGTGTAGTTGTTCCTACAAATACGTCACTAGTCCGTTTATGAACTTTAAAATTTGAACATTTCATTGCACCATACATCAGAATTGTAGGCTTTGCAGAGTAAAGCGATCTCTACACCTAAAGGTAGTACAACTGATAAACGGGCGTCTGTGGCGTAGCGGTTAAGCACTTCGCTGCAGTCAAAAATTAATAATAATTCAGAATAAAACCCTTTATACTTTTTTACACTGACAATTTAAAAAACGTATCCCAGGTATAACAATAATCATATATGTAGCACGTTCCAGATAAAGTATATTATCAGAAATGTTCATGCAAAATGACGCGGAGTAGTATAATACCTAGCAACTGATTCTTGTGAACAGGAAGAATGTTTTATGCCTGTCTATAACCTATTGACCCTTTCCACAGGTCATAGTTCAAAGAGCACTGGCCGCCCGGTCGATCTCGCACGCGCAGGGAGCGACACTGATGGCGGGCTTCATCAAAGTGTTGCCGCTCTTTGTGATGGTCATGCCAGGGATGGTGAGCAGGGTGCTTTACCCGAGTGAGTAGTAGCAACAATCGAGACTTACCTGTAAGTTGATTGTTTCTGATTTTGACCATCTGTCGTCAGGCCCTCCCGTGGTTATATGGGGAGTTGTTGCTAGTGCTGAGTGAATGTTCATACCAACGTGCACACACGTACAGACGCGTACACACACGTACACACACACACACACACACACACACACACACACA